TCACCCAGGCTGGAGTGCAGTGGTGTGATTTTGGCTCATTGCAACTTCCTCCTCCTGAGTTCAATCGATTCTCCTCCGTCAGCCTTCTGAGTAAGCTGGGATTACAGGCACCCACCACCACACCCAGCTAATTTTTAGTAGTCACAGGGTTTTGCCATGTTGGCCATGCCAGTCTCAAACTCCTGACCTCAAGTGATCTGCACACCTCAGCCTCCCAAAGTGCTGGGATTACAGGCGTGAGCCACCACACCCGGCCTCAAGCCTTACATTATTCCATTCTGGTTGCAGCCTTGCCAAGGACTATTTAATTATCTTTCTTCTAGGAATAGGGTGTTGGATTAGCCGTAATACCAACCAGTTCTGAAATAAAAAAGGGAATGAACCAGCTGGTCAGGGCATCAGGAAGACAGGAACTTACAGACGCCCAAGACAGTGTCAAGTTTCTCTGGCCTCTTGTGTTCTCACCAGAGGGTAGACAGATTCCTAGAGTTGTCCACATTAAATGAGAAATGTATTCCAAATAGATCTTTTAAAAATATAAATTTTTAATTCTTTGGTTCATCCAGCTTCTGCCTACATCATTGGCACAGAGTATTGATGAAAATATGTTATTTTCATTTCATGTTATTAATTAAATAACTTGGGTGGTATCTGAGAATAGAAGACTAAAATCAAATCCACCCCAGTGTTTGCCTTGGAATAAGAAAGCTCTTCAGCTCTAGGTTTCAGAACAGATCTATTGCTCTGGTTAATGACATACTTCTAAGATCTACTTGGTGAAAGATTTCCATTACATTTATCAAAATGTAGTAAAGAGTGAAAAGAGCTTTTTATCACTTTGCCTGCCTTCTAAGTATCAAATTATGAGACTTCTGAATGTTAATTGGTTTGTGGCCCTCTGTGGGTAATAAATAAGCCTGAGTTTGCTAAGAATGTGCATCATTCACTTTGTAATGATTTAGAAGAGACACAGTTCAGTTGTAATTGAATATTAAAGTCAACTATAAAGTTTTGAAATAATTTTTTAAGAAATAAGCTTCTTTTTCTTCACTGTTTCCCACAGTCACCTTAGTATCTATATACTTAATACAACTTTCACTTATTTCACATACAATTTTTAATGAAAAGTCTGTAGATAATAACTTTAATAAAAAGCTGTAGAAAATAACTTGCTAAGACTGCCTTTTTTATAAATAATTTTTAATATGAATTCAAGGCATTGCAAGGTTGCTTACTGGTGGATAATGTCTTTAGGAATCACATGTGGTTGACGATACCTTGAGTCATAGGGTACAGGAACCTTTTGCAAAGGAAAGACCTTAAATCATGAGTTAAGAGTACTGCCATAAGGACACTGCACATACAACTTACTAAGCAATTAAAAATTGTTGGGAATTTGAGTTGGCAGGTCCTTGTGACTGTGAGATACAATGCACTTAAATGTTGTCCCTTTCATTGAATGATGGAGATGGCAACTTAATGAGAGATTGTTGTTTAGGAATGTCGCCCTCACTGAGCACAAACCACATTTAGCCAAGGGGCTTCTTCAATGTTTTGAGTGTGCATTTTCTTCCTATCTTTGTTAATACAGCTTTGAGGATACTTGTATTTCTTTTTCATTGTTGAAATGTACTGTTTCATAACCATACAATGCATCTGTTTTTGTTTACCGTAGATGCAACCAAACAGCTTTCCATGGCAGTCCCCTTTACCGTGCAGCAATAGCCTCCCAGCAACCTGCACAACTGGCCAGAGTAAAGTGGCAGCCTGGTTACAGGACTCGGAGGAGATGGACAGGTGTGCAGAAGGTTAGTTCTTACCTAGTGTGGCCTGAGAGTAAGCCAAAACCAAACAAGAAACAAAACCTAAAGAGGTGAATTGTGAGTCTTTTACCCTGATTGCCTTGGCCTTTCCTTGCTCTTTTTCTCCTCCTTGTTTTTATTTTTTTAAATTAAATCCAAATTTTATTAAGGATTTCAAGTTACATACTTCAAATTTCTAGAATGGAATGGAATCATTTTGGAACGGGAAAAATGGCGTAAACACTGACATCCCTTAAAACTTCAATATTATAAAGAAAATTCTTCTGCAAACCACATGTCCATTATATGACAAGACTAAGTATTATCTACACCTTCACTTTGGCAATAGCTGTTTCCTAAAATAATGAAAAAGATGATTTTGCTACTTCAGTTCATTAAAAATGGGATTCCACCTTTAAAGTTCAGAAAAAGCTGCGTTTAGATGAACTATGTTTACAAAAAGAAACGAGTACAGAGTGTCTAATCAAAGCAAAGGAAATCATTTTGAAAATAAAGAGAAAAAAAGCTATTATTATTGGTTAAGGATTTCCAGTCGTAAGTTAAAATCTCAGGAGAGGAATGGATAGCACTATAAACAATGTGTTCACATTCCAAGACCTTAACACTAACTTCTCAAAAAGGAAGTTTTCATCACCTCTAAAAATGACTTCAATGTAATTTTATTAAGAGCAGGAAATCTAGACCTTCCTCTAATGACAATCCAATAATCCACCTTCACTGGCATTAAAAAAAAAAGTCAACCCCAAAATTAACAGTAATTAGCCTGAGTTATTATAAATGTGGCTCTACAGCCTGAAATTTAATGGCGTCTTTTGTCAAAAATAGTCTTATTTCCATGTTAGTCTCATGACTATAATACTACAGTGCTAGCCCTGTAGTATTTACTACAATACAGTCATCAAAAATTCTTGAACCTTGAGAAATAGTACATCCCACCACTTCAATAAAAGTAGGAGCCACACAAAGATCTAAGAGTGCTGCCTGCCCAGATCCAGAATAGAGGTACTCAAGCTTTGTTTTCCAGTTTAGTTGTCAAAGGGTGGTGTGGACAAAATGCTGAGTGTCACACTGGCATGACAAATAGGCCCCAGAGTTTAAGCTTTTAACGTTTTCCCCTTGTTTTTATTTTTATGTGCCAGCTCCTTCTCTGTGCCGTGAATCGGGCTCCTTACCTGCCAGTGTTCCTGCACCCTCACAGCAGTTGAATGTGGTTCTTGCTTTTCCCCTAACTTCTACCCACTTCAGCCTTCTCTCCTTGTCTCTTTGCCAGTTCCTTCTGGCTTCTTTAGCCCCTGGACCCTGGGGGAGCCACACAGAGGGGTGACGCCCAAGGGGAGCCCACTCTGCCCGCAGCCCCAGAATCTCTGCTCTGCCCTCCTCACTAGGTCACTTCCACAGCTGCCTTCTCGACTGCTCTGTCTTCCCACAGAGCAGGTATATGTTTCCTGACATCTCAGCAATAAATGGCAAAGTTCTAAAATGCTGTATCTTGTATCCATAGTTACCTATTAGTGTGCTCCACTATGGATCAGTGATTCAATATTCTGAACCAATACCTGATTCCCTCTCACTGCCATCTCTGAGCCTCTTCATCTCTTCTTACCTTCACCTTTTTTGTAATTAGCCAGAGCACAATGGTTCAGACTTTATCTACAGACCATTTCCATTCTATGAGACAGTTTTCCTTTGACCTTCAACACTGAGAAAAAACAAGGGCAATGCAGAGAATGTTTAATAAGGCTCAATTTGTTTATTTTTTTAGCTGATCCAAAGATGATGGGCCTAATTTTTTTAAATTATTTTTCCTTATAAAAATATAATGAAACTAGATATTAGATCACTTTTTTGTGTTCTCACTGAAAAAAATTATAATCTGGTAATTACGTAAGTCCTCCAACCAAAAGAATTTTTTTTTTTTACTCTACCAGCATGTGAACTCAAAATATGCAGCATTTTTGTCATTTTTGTCAGCCTTCTGAGACACTCACATCCCAGACTTTATCTTTATGTGAAAGTATAATTTAAGAGGGATTTGGCTGGGTGCGGTGGCTCATGCCTGTAATCCCAGGACTGTGGGAAGCCAAGATAGGCAGATCACTTGAGGTCAGGAGTTCAAGACCAGCCTGGACAACATGGTGAAAATTTGTCTCTACTAAAAATACAAAAATTAGCTGGGCATGGTAGTGTGCCCCTGTAATCCCAGCTACCCAGGAGGCTGAGGCAGGAGAATTGCTGGAACCTGGCAGGCAGAGGGTACAGTGAGCTAAGGTCATACCACTGCACTCCAGCCTGGGTGGCAGAGCAAGACTCCATCTCA